TGGAGACAAAAAACCCACAAAGCTATCAATAACCAATTCTTCAAGAGACTTAATATCGTAGCTAAAGATTTGTATGAAGTGGAACTTGTAAAATCTACTATAGAGCATCGTGAACCAATTATAGTAGGATTCTTTATACTACAGTATGCCAAGTTGAGAATGTTGGAGCTGTATTATAACTTTTTCGATGAATTTTGCGATGTCGACAAATTCGAAGAACTCGAAATGGATACAGATTCCCTCTATTTGGCTTTGGCAGAAGAAGATTTAGACGATTGTATCCTTTCCAGCAAGCGAGCAGAATGGATTGAAAGGCGAAGCAAGGACTGTCGAGACGACTTCAGTGCAGATGCAAAAAAAAACTGGTTTCCCCGTTATTGCTGTTCTAAACATAAGAAATATGACAAAAGAGAACCAGTATTGTTCAAGCAGGAGTTCAGATGCACCGAAATTTTATGCCTGTGTAGTAAAACCTATTGCTGTTACGATAGAAAAAGTGAAAAGTATAAGTTTAGCAGTAAAGGTCTGAACAAACGTGCATTAGAAGACTCTGGAGATGGACAAATGGCAAAGTATCGACAAGTACTAGATGAGGCAGTGAATTTGAAGTCAACCAATAGAGGATTTAAAACAACTAACCATGCAGTCGGAACTTATGAAGAAACTAAAAAAGGACTGAGCCCTTTTTACCCTAAACGGGAAGTTAAATGTGATGGAATACATACTAAACCTCTAAATTTGTAAGAGATTATGTAGTAAAATTGTATACGATGCTGTGAACTAATACATTTTCTCAGTATTTAACCTTTTTTTTCAAAAAAACTCTTTTTAAACGCTACTTTTGGGTTAACAGTATGTTGTTTTTTGATTAGGAAAACATTTAAAATCTGGAAAATTGGCTAAATCGAGCTCCAAAAACCTCGGGTGCCAATTTTTTTTGAAACTTACCATCTGAAACTTTACCATCTTACCATCTGAAACCTAGCATCGTAATACATTAGAAATCATATTCCCTAATGAGTTCCTAATTACCTACAATGAAATTAATAGACTTAGGGAAATCTATACATGGGAAATTCGGGCGCGGAAAAAAAAACTTACCATCTTACCATCTGAAACCTCGTATTTTAATACATTGGGAAACCTATTCCCTATCTAAATACATTGGGAAAACTATAGCCTATGTTAATACATAGGGTGAGGACCGGATACTCTATAGCCTATGTTATTACATGGGGTCCTCACCCTCCCCCCTCGAACTGCCCCGACATATACTACTAGTGTAGACTTTTCAGCTGATAAAATAAACTGTTCGGAAAAATCTCAGGATTGAGTTTTGAAAAGTTTCAGAAGTTGTGCCTCCAGCAGCTGGTTTGCTTCTATAATTCCCATTTAACGTAAGCCGCATACAAATGTGTCATTGGAAATCAAAATGAGTTGAACTTTTATTTTTCAGCCTATACTAGGCCACAAGGGCGTACGATTGAAAACATGAAAACCCAGCGCTAGCATATTACCAGTACACTCTAAAAACATGCAAAATTTTATCAAAAATTAATAATTTCAGAGAACTGTGACAAAAAAAAAGAATATTGAATATTCTGGAGAAAATGCAATATTTTTTTTCGACTGCACAAATTGTTTTGGTTATAAGAATCAATCAAGTTGGGGAAATTTTTTTTTCAACACCAATTAAGTTTCAACAAAACCGTGAGAAATTATTATCGGACATAACCTTTGAAAAAATCATGATTTGACTCTATCAATTACCAATTTTTTCAGGTTTGAAAAGGCCCATTTTCCATCATCTTAAATAAATTTACGATCGCAAGGAATTTTCTCTGGAATATATGGTGTTGAAGTAAACATTCGAAACAACACGTGTTAGGCGAGAACCTTTAGAAAGATTGTTTTTTCGAGCTGCACTGTGTCCTTATATTATACTGCTACAATGATAAAAATTACCATTCATACGCAGATTCAGATAAGGGTTTGAAATTAAACAATTTTTTTAATGGTTTTTGAGATTTTTTTGCTCACGGTCGATTTGATTTTTTTCTGAAAAACTGAGATAAATTGACCTCAATTGTACTTGAATTTTGGCATCTTAAAGTGTAAAAACAAAAAATTGCCGCAACTTCTGTTCACTGTTTTATAACAAAAGCAGAAAATGCTAAAGGCAATTTCAGGTTTTTCTTCGCTGATCTTACTGTTTGTTCGAATCAATTTTTCCAGGAGCTTACGGAAGAAAAATTTTTTACTGTCCATAAGAAACCACAAGCGTTACCAAAAATGCTGAGAAATTCCACAAAAGAAATAAAATGGCTGCTAAAAACTTAGTATTGCGTTTCAAAACGCGCAGGAGTGTATAGGCGATAGTTGACGAAATGATGTTTTTCTTGGTTTATCAGTTTGATGACGATTTTTTAAAAATATATTTTTAGACACTCTCCAACTCCTGAAATGTTTTTGTGTCAGATATTTCCAACATGAGATTGTATGGCTAAAACAATTACCTTAACTATATTTGAGTCCCGTGTCTATATCAGCAAAACTAGATCGCAAAATGCAGTCTGGACTAAACTCAGATCTGTCCGCTAAAACTCTAAGACCAGGATAACTAAGCGCTGCATTTAAAAAGACAGAGTTTGGAAGAAAAAAAATTAAACGAAAATAACTTTTTTAATTTCCCGACATAATAAAAAAAGTATTGCACTGTTTAGTCTAAACATTTCACTTCTATGTTAAGACTGCCAATCAAAAGCTGCTTTTGAGAATCTACAGATCTTTTTTGTGATTTTCTTTAATAATATAATTCTTGTAATTGGAAATACTCAGAGCACTGTTTGTCCAGTTTCATCCATTTTTGGCAATTTATGTTAATATCATCATGTTTTGATTAGTAATTTTTTTGCTGCTTCCAAAAGGCTTGAAAATTGTTTTCAGAAAATTGTATACTCTCCTACTGCGAATATTCCATATTTAATTGAAAACCATAAGTCTAGTATAATAAATTTTGAACAAAATATCTATTTTTTCAAACCTTACTTGTAAAAAATTCTAAAAGTATACTTTGCAGAAACAAGCTTTAAACATTCAAAAACACTAAAACTGAAATTAACATCAGTTTCTGTTCATTGTCTAGAAAATGAAAAAACTTCCGGACTTTTCTCAATTGAAATCACAAAATTGAATATTTAAAATGGGTTTTTATTGTAGAAAATTAGAAGCAAAATCACTAGAAGCAAATTATCAAAATTTGTTAGGCTAAAATTAGAAATTTTGGATTAAAAATTTCGGTTTCTTCCTCAGAAATAAATAAATTTTCGAATTATAATTTGCATTATAAACGCTCCAAATCTATTTTATTTCACTTTTTCCATTAAAAGGAACAAAAATTTTTTTTGTAAGAAATTGAACACTAAATTGAACAGCAAGGTTAATGTTCTTTTTAAAAATATCAGATAATTTTTTCTAATTAGTAAACTAGAGGATTATAATTATTCGTTTCTAAAAACTATGAAAACTTTCAACACTTTAGACTTAATTTATAGTAGAAAAACTGCGTTCTGAAGGTTTTACCAGAATCATTAGGCAAACATTGACAAACAGACTAGATTCATAGCCATTAGAGCCTGCTACTTAACCTCTTAAATCAAATTTATCTTGTTAACTTCCCTTTCGTAATTTTTCTGAGCGTTGAGAGCAAGAAGTAAGAGTTCAACTACTGGTGTGTTGACTGGTTTTCAACAACGGATAATAAACTGTGAGCTACATAAAATAAAGAAAAATTACGTGAAAAAGTTCGACTACGGAAGAAAAACAGAAAAAGCGCTGTTAAATCAAAGGTTAAAATGTATTTCGTTTTGATACAAAATACACAAAAAAATTTTCACAGTCGTTTGAGTATTGTCCTAGGAGGAGTTCGCACCCAGACATAGTTTGTAGTTTTTTAATGAATGGGATCCTTTTAGATAGAAAGCAGAACGTTTTAAAAAGTCGAGTTGAGCGGATTTTGTCTGAAATAATTTTTTTAAAACTTATTTCTTGATTTATGTTTAACAAAATCTAATTGATTGTTTTCAAGTCTTATCTGGCTTACATTACGAGGCCAAATTTTGCATTCTGTGCACTGTAAGCGGATTCCACAACAGACCATAATCAGATTTGTCGCGGAATCCGCAACTTTGTTAGTTTTCTTTGATCTTCTTCGCTGTTTTGGATTCCAGAAAGAAATACCTAAAACACTGTACCGCTCATACAGTGGCAATTTTGCGGAATCCGCTACCGTAATTGTGGAATCCAGAACAGTTTGTGGAATCACAAAACAAATAATACGATATTTGTATATATAAATTGAGCTGATGCTGGTTCCGCAACTGTAAGCGGAATCCGCAACGTGTAAGTGGAATCCGCAAAACGTTAGTGAAATCCGCATTTGATTTATGGTTTCCGTTTATATATATGTACATGTGTAGAATAGCATTTCAAATTCTATCTTTTAATTAATGGTCACAAGAAAAATCAGTCTCAATTTCTGTAAACCCAACTTCGATCTCAAATCCTGTCGACTTCAATCTCAACTTCGATCCCGAATGCTGACCTACCGATCCCAAATACTGACCTAATTTGATCTGAACTTCGAACCCAAAAACTGATGCAATCCCAAATTCTGACCTAATTCGACGATTTCCAAACACTCTCAAGCCAATTGCTACAAATATTGAATTTATTCGGCGTTAAGCTTCCAAAATCAGTATTTGGGGTTCACCTAAATTGGCGAAATGCTTTATATTGTGTTTACATACACTCTCAACCCAATGACTCCAAATATTGAACTTAATCGGTATTGTGTTTCCAAAATATTAAAAGGGACATCCATCGATTTATTTAACAAATTTGTTGGTGGATTCCGCTGACAATGGTTAAGTCCTTGTCTTTAAATTCCGCATTGCTACAGATAAGAACTCCATCTCTAGCTTTTATTTGTTCTAATGCAAGTTCAGTAATTAACAAAATTCTGAATCCACGTACAGTTTGCCAAATCCGCTTACAGTTGCGGAACCCAGAACAACAAGCTATATTTGTTTGTTGAGGAATCCGCAACAAAACGAATGTGCTGACAAAATTTACGTTACAGGTATATGTATGCGGAATCCACTGAAATTTTTTTGTGTGGAATCCACTTAAATTTCAGAACATATTTACAGACTTGTCTCTCATCGTGTTTTGTACAGTAAATTTTTTGCTGCTTTCAAAAGGCTGGAAAAATTTTTTTTTCAGAAAATTGTAAACTCTCCTACTGCGAATGTTCCATTTTTAATTGAAAACCATGAGTCTAGTATAATAAATTTTGAACAAAATTCCTACTTTTTTTAACCTTACTTGTAAAAAATTCTAAAATTATACTTTGCAGAAACAAGCTTTAAACATCCAAAAACACTAAAACTGAAATTAACATCAGTTTCAGTTCATTGTCTAGAAATTGAAAAAACTTCTGATTTTCTCAATTGAAATCACAAAATTTAATATCTAAAATGGGTTTTTATTGCAGAAAATTAGAAGCAAATTAATTAGAAGCAAATTATCAAAAGTTGTTAGGCTAAAATTAGAAATTTTGGATTAAAAATTTCAGTTTCTTCCTCAGAAATAAATAAATTCTCGAAGTATAATTTGCATTATAAACGCTCCAAATCTATTTTATTTCACTTTTTCCATTATATGGAACAAAAAAAAAATTTTAGTAGAATAATTGAACACTAAATTGAACAGCAAGGTTAATATTCTTTTTGAAAATATCAGATAGTTTTTTCTAATCACATTTGGGTGTTCACAAGAAAGTTTGCTCACAAAAAATCTCCTTTATTACTCATGATAAAAGACGGGTTCTACTCGCAAGCTTTAAGTTGCCTCGGTAAAAAAAATAATCATCAAAATAGCAAAAAAAAAATTGGAAAAAAAATCATAAACGAAAAACTGTCATTTAAACTACTTTAAATTATTTGTAGAACGACTGACAAACAAGAAAAAAATGGAGCCTAAACTTTGTGAAATCGAAACCTTGACATATTGTTTTAATTAGGGCTGAAAATTATTCAAAGCAATTAGCTACCTTTCATAGCGTAAATCATTCTTTTAAAGAAAACTTATACAAGTGTACACCACACTCCTTCCTCGTTAGCCGAAATCGCATTTGAGTTAAACTCATTTTCAGGGCAACTATATAATAAAAAATCATTTTCTTTCAGAATGTTTTTGCAATTGGCAGCCGTGTTGATGATAAACAGCAGAAGCATCACAATGAAGATTGGTGGTTTTGACCAATTGAAAATCCAAAAGTGAGTCTCAATAACTTAACAATACTGAAAAGTTTTGTTTTCCTTGTAATTTTGACCAAGTTGCTTCGTCAAAAGCTAATAAGGAGCTAACTACTAAAACTATTAAGCTAATCAGCTGATAAGAAAACATTAACACAAATTAAATTACCGAAACGTATACGCACTTATATGCAAAATAATTCCTTAGGTTTGCGTAATGTTTTTTCTTTAAAATTTCCAATCTATTTGTTTTCAGGCGATATTCTAATGCTTTCTTCAAAGGTCATCCTATCATGAAAGTAATACTGGACTCACATACAAACTTCCGAGCCAAAGCAGGCCTGCAACTAATTTCATACGACGATGACTTGGGTAAGTTTTTTGGGCAGATTTTTGAATTAAAAGGAGAGCAATGTTTTTTTTCACTACAGATTGAAAAATTTCAGAAAATAAAGGTTTTCAACTGGTTTGATTGATCACAAATGAGACAAACGATAATGAAAACAGGATAGCTCTGACTTGTTTCTTCAAAGTACTTGTCAGGAATCAGTAAACGCAATAAAGACTTTTAAGGCGATGATTTTTCACCAAAAAACCTGAAATTTGTTCAGGTTAAAACTATTTCAACTTTTTTGCTTAAGGAAAGGCAATCGAACATCCAACGTGTAAACAGCACAAAAAACGTTAAAGATTTTCAGTTCTGTAACAAAAACCTCAGTCAGTCAATTCAAATCAATTCCTTTGTCATAATGAAGGGAACCACCATACCGATTTCTAGGTTCAAAAACGGAAAATAATCAGATTTTCTGCATTGATATAGTAACTTTACCTATTGATCCAATTTTCTCAAATTAAGTTAATGTTATCAAAAAACATGTCAACCACCTTTCTAGTTTTTCATCAAAAAATTTTTGCGGGAAAAAGAGAGGCAAAACTTGAATAAAGATGTTTTTCCAACCACTCAGATTGTTTCTTTGTTTGGTTTCAATGACTGTTCTCCGGATGCCAGTTGGATATGTTTGTCATAAGCAGTTTCAGTGGTCAAAAAAGTGCTAGCAATCTAATTGATTATTGTTATCCAACAAAACAATGTAAAGAAATCGCTCAGACAACTAAATTAAATGAAGTTGCGTGTTCTGCTGAACGACTATTGTAATTTATATATCAAGATTTTGGAAAAAATTCCGAGAAGTTTTGCCAGTATAGGCCCAGCAATTAAGATCAAATCATTGACGACTTCAATTACACTCAACTATTTCTTATGGGTGGCTGTAATGGATAAGAAACCGCTCGACTCCATTAAAAAAGTTAAATTGAAAGGAAGGTATTATGAAAGTTTTATTTATAGCAAATCAGGCCGACATGGAGGCTGCGTACATAACAGTGGAAAACCCCATTTCCTGCACTCGAAAATTCGATCATTCAGATGTGCTCAAGATTTCGCTACCTGCCAAAAAGCAAGGTTTCTATTACAATTGACTTGAGAAAAATGCGTTAAAACAATCAGATAGAGAATATTTTTGTATGTGGATAACCTGGGTGATTAAAAGTAATGAACGTAATGAAGACTTTTATGAAGGCTCCTTTTTCAGGTATTTTAGATGCATTTAGGTATGTTAGACTTTTTGAGTTCAATTGAAACTCATCTGCTAAATGTGACCTATAAAACAGTCAACAAACGCGAGCGTAGAAACGGCGCGAAAAATGTGAACAATTTGTAATTTCAAAAGTGGAATTTAATTTTTAGATTTCCAGTGGAATAAAAACTTTAACTTTGATTATTTTTGTTTTCAAATTGAGTCACTTTATCAGAAAAGCGCCATTCAAAAACCGTTCTAGGAACTTAAAGAGCTTAAAGAGTATCTATTTTTTTCTTTGAAACTCAAAAGTTGAGATTTTTTCAAGAAACTCAGTGTTTTTTTATTATTACTTAAAACATATGAAACGCTATAAGACCACGAAAAAAGAGTAGTACAATTTTTCAATTGATAAAACATTGATGATCATTCTCATCAAGTGTTTGTTTTTATCCAAAATCAAAACAATGTGAGCACAAGGGAAGCAAAACGCTACTACTGATGAAAAACTGACTTTTTTTGATTTATTCAAATCTAATAAAACATTAAGTAAATTGGTTTTTCAAATTGTTTTGTGGCTGAAAATTATAAATTTGGAAATCATTTGAAAAATTTTTAGGGGTAAATACGGCAGAGGTGAAAGGTTACGACAAAAGAGATGTATCCGTCCAAGATGTCGAAAAAGTGGTGATGAATTGGTATGAAACCCGAAGGACATACCAGTTTCCAGGAGGCAATCAACCATTTGAGTCCTGCAGTAATGAATCGTCCGTAAAAGATTATGGATTGTTCACGCAGGTAAACGTATTTTGTTTTGAGAGATGTTATTATCATGACTAACATCACAGTTTTCCCTGCTAAAATCTTCTTATTTAAACTGCATAAGTTCTAAATCAAACAAGACTGCCCATCATTGTGCGTCATTGACATTGTTTAAAAAACTACTGTTTCATTCCTTGAAATGATTAAAATAAAGGCTACTGATCATATGTCCCGGCATTTCAACAGATACCCTTTTTTTACCCATGTTTCACAGAGCGTAGGCTCTTTTTATGTCCCCGTGTTTCACGACGGGCAGAGTTGTGTTTTAACTTTTTAATAACTATCTCCTTTTGAACAATATACATTGAACGTAAACTAGCCTCGTTGGTGAAAGATGGCTGGCTGTTAAGTTCCATGGTTGGCTGTCAACGGAGTTACAGAAAGCAAGCAGAGGATAAGAATAAGGGCGAAAAGGAAAGAGTTCAATAAATTATCCTACAAAAAATTGAAGAAAATACTCAAAAGAGAAAGTTAAGGAGTACAGATGCGTAATATTCAAGGCTGAGGCTGTACTCCTCCAACGGATCTTGTCTTGGGAGCCGAGGAAACCGATAAGACGGTTCATCGGTTCCCTGAAGCTCCAATTCTAAGATGACATTTGAAGCGGCAATCGGCTTTCTATAATCCCGCAGCTAACCACTCGTTGAGCCAGAAATGCTTCATCACTCCATCATCATAACGTCAACGTTATCACTTAAGAATTCTCTAGCAGTTTTTTAGCAAGATAGAGAGTTCATCTGTTACCCGAGTCGAGATCCCGCTCAAAAACCATTCAAGATTTGAACAGTTTGAGCGGCTTTCCAGCAAGGTTTGAGAGGCTTGAGCGGTTTGGGCGGTTTGGTTTTGAAAAACGGCTCTTACCTCTCAAATTTTGCCTTGAAAGCCGCTTAAAGCCGCTAATTTCTTGCGGTGGTTTTTGAACGGTTTATCACGAATTTTTGAGTGATTTATGAGCGGTTTCACAAAAAAAAGCGAGTAAAATTATCAAGTTGACTGGAAAACTCAATGTGACGCTACCAGTGTAGAGGTTGTGGTATTATGATCAAAAGGTTACGACCATGTTTTGGTATTTCCAGACTGTCGCATCCGAAACTGGAAATTTTCAGACCGCCGCGACAAGAATTTGGCATTTCCAGAGTTTGCGGTCCGAGGCAATGTGTCAGGTACCAGCGCGAGTAAAGGAAATCCAACCGCGAAAAGCGCGACCGAAGGAAAGTTAGTCGCGGCGGTCAGGACATTAGTCGCGACTGTCGAAAATTAGTTGCGACGGCCAAAACATAGGAGTACGAGATATAAATTTATTTGGAGAAAATTGATTAAAGATACGTTTCTTGAGGTTATTAACTGCATTAAAAAGCAACCCCACAAAAAAAAGTTGTGACAACCAATTTAGTTAGTAATGCATACCCGAATTGACATTTTTCACCTATTTTGAAACAAGGTTTGAGTAGATTGGGCGGTTTTTTCAGACGATTGCGCTCAAAATCTTGCTTCATGGTGCTTCATAGAGAGTGGTTTGAAAGTATTTTGAGCGGTATAACTAAAAAAAAAAAACAATCAAAATCCTTGCAAGGTTTAAACAGTTTTTGAGCGGTTTATCTACAAACCCTCTACAAAACCGCCTAAGACATGAGAGGTTTCTGAGCGTTTTGTTATGATAAACCAATCAAATACTGCTCAAACCGCTCAAATCTTGCTTCAAGTTAGATTAAAAACCTGGACTCGGGTACACATGATGCCCACTAAAACCGAAATAAAGATGATTATAAGGTATCTCATGAATACCATCTAAGAAAATGTTGCAGGTTATTAGTACACATACAGTTGAGTTTCTAAAGTGATGAGCTTTTGAGACAAAAGAATAAGTAATCTTTAATGGCTAGGTGGGGCATCTGAAAAACATATAATTTCAAGTAGCTTTCAAGTAGTTCACCTTGATAAAAAGGACATTACTTTGCTCGTATGTGCTCATTTGCTGACATTTAAAGTTAAGTTGTGTATATAAAACTTGCGCAAATGAGGGGAGCCGTGAGTCTACTTTGTGCTGTTAAATCGTTAAAGAAATCGAAAAAAGTAAACTAGAAAGAAAAGAGGAAAGTGAGAGTCCACTGATAATGTTTCGTTCGATCGATAGTTGACTCTCTAATCGGATTTGTTTTTTTTTTTCGATTTGTAAAAAAACTGCTACAAAATTTCAAGAGTTTTCCACTATAACTTGCGTAGAAGTAGTTGAGTTTTGACCCTAATTGAAGGCTTGTTCGTAACCCGCATAAACAATTTCTACATATATTTTATTGTTCACTGCGTCAAAAAAATTTAAGTTTGAAAACCGTTTGAAGTATGCATGACTTTTTTTTATAAATCAATTTTGATGTTCCGTGATTTTAGATTCAAAAACATTTTTGAAAGATACAACTCTGAATTTTTTGAAAATATCGAAAGTAATGATACTGGTCTAGAATTTTCAACCGCCGATTTGCTACCCTTTTGCAGGTAGTAATGATTATTGATTTTTTTTCAGAGTTCGTGATAGGAGCATGTTTGCTTGATTTTAAAGAAAACTGATGGAGAGACATGTTGATAGACTTCGGACAGTTTTCAAAAACTGAGATTGGGATTTTATCCAGTCCCAGAGTTTTTTGAATCTTAACTTTCACATTTAGTGTTTTTTGTGTTTTTTAAAAAATCAGTCATCGAGCGATCGGGTTTTTGCAAATAAGTTAGCTCGGTTCGTGGACTTCTGAGCTTGAGCAGTTTTAGGTATGACACACATGGGAATTGAATTTGATTTGAAAGACTGATTGAGTTTGAAAAAAATTGTCTGTTGATCTAGTTGATGAAAGTTTTGTTTCAAAATCAAGGCTATCGTTCTCGATTCTCAATTATATTGTTAATTTGTTTTTTCAGGGTTATGGTTTTTGAGTAAGTTGAGGGTTCTTTTTCAAATAGGTTGATAAATTTTTAGGTGAGATGTGGATCTACCAACCCAGGGTGCTAAATTTGCCATGTGTTGCAATCTCATTGGAATGTGATTGTTAATTTAGGTCAAATCCAATGGCACCATTCGTCTGTCAAAGTTTTCACCTTGAACAAGCAAAAACCTCTGAAGTTTTCTTCTTTGATAGATGAGCTGAGGATCTGAAAGTCCGCCCTGCAGCAACTGAACATTTTGTGTTTTCGTTAATTTCACCGATTCTCAAACACCGATTCGTCAGCTTTTGTGTAGTTGTTTTTATCCATATGTCTGGATAGGTGCATATTTGCTTATTTTCATAGAAAACTGATGGAGAGGTTTGTTGATT